TTTAGCTTCATAAACATAATTTTCTTTTGCAGTGAACACTTTCAATGATTAATCAATGTTTTCAATTTAATCAAAGACATTTGGCATGCAGCTTATGCTTCATGGTTCGGGAACCTGTGCAAATGGAAAGTTTTGAGTCACTTTCCATTCTTTATACTTATTTTAAAGAACATTTTCTTGCTTTTTATTAGTCTGCCTAATGATAACAGGTCTGTCTTGATTGAACATGTGCAGCTTTTTTCAACAAGATCCAGTCAATTAGGCAAATAGCAGTGACTCAAATGATGAAACAAGGTGTTCTTTCGAATCATTTAAACTGTGTACCAGCAAATTGTTCATTTGGGTTAATTCTACATTTTGTTCCATTCATTTACTCACATGTATTTGTAAATACAGTTGTAGATAAAGAATGACAGGGGTATTTTGTTGTTGCATCATAAACTAATTTCTAATTAGCACAAGATAAGCTAAAAAAAAAAAAAAAAGTAAGTTGGAGGAAAGTCTGGCAGTAAGAGCTACAGTCTCCTCATACATTGTTTAAACCAGAAGACAGCATGATGTAAGACAGAGCTCATCACGGTCTGCACTGGGAAATTTTGATCAGCCCCCAACTCCACGATCTGTAATCCCTCTTCTGTCATCATTGTCATCATCATTTTACATCTGACTCCAGAAACTAGGATAGAGGAAGGAAATGGGGGGTGGAAGGAAGATTGTATGTGGAGCTCTTTAACTTATCCACCTTTTGTCACATCAAAACCATAAACTTTTATATTTTTTTATTGGGATTAATGCTACAGACCAACACAGAGCAGTGCAAAGTTTAGCTGGTGTTCATAATTATAAATCTGAAAAGCGTGGTATGCATACCATGTATTCAGTCCTGATTATTGAGCCAAACTTTTGTTGGGCCACGTTTTATTTTTTTAACAATGCCAAATATTTTAGTGCAAGTCTGTAACTGCTTTATCACTAATCCTGTAGCTAATTCCCTCTTTGTTGTTTCATTATAAAAGCAAAATAACTCTGCCTGCATTCACACTAGACGGATACAATCTGTGAACCTTTTTTTTTTTTTTTTTCACAGAGCATTAACTGGCTGTTCTAACACATTTACAAGCTTTGGCCTAAAATAGAAGTGAGGTCTCCAGCCTCCAAGGGCCGATGCACAGATACTGTTGGTTAATTCCCTGATTCAACTCAACTGACCCAAATGGTTACATGTGCAGTAGACACATTTAAAAGACGCTGACCCTCTGATGGGGAGCTTGATACCTGACAAAGGTAGCATTAAGGCTATCATCCCGTAAATGTTTTTGTTTTGGTCGAGGAGCCAGAGGGAACAAAGAGAAAGCAGGTACAATAAAGTCTTCATAGAAAACATCAGCAAAGAGAAACATTTCAGATTGAACAATTGTGAATAACAGCCTTGAGCAGATTGTCTGACAAAAAGCTAAAAATACAGGGACGAGTGATTGCTAAATAGGAACCATGTGTGATTAACTAAGCTGGTGTAGCTGTGGACATGGGGAAACTAAAGGCCTTTAAGTATGACTTATAAGGAGAAAGAATGAACAGAGATCCAGGAAGCTCACACAGAAACCAGAAAAAACTGTAGAAACTCCAGGAGAATGACTGAAAATACCAAACTGAAACAAGAAAAGACAGAAATAAGCATAACCAGCTGCTCAAAAATATAACAGAAAAATAATCAGGAACACAGACGTAAGAAAGAGAAGCAAAACAATAAAACAAATCTAAAATTTAGTCATAAAAAAGTCAGTTTTGAAAAACATTATAAAAATGGTCTCACTATATTCTTTTCAAGGGTATCAGAGTACATGTGGCTGACACAAATGCAGACCACAGTTCTCGCATTTTTTCTTGTAAATGTTTTCAAAACCGTATTTTCTCTTCCACCAACTTCACAAATACATATATCGAAAAAGAATTTGTGTTTGTAGCATGGCAGAAATAGAAGAAACTCACAGACATGCCATTATATTTAACTAATGGAGGAGTAGTCTGTTATTCATTTTGCACATACACGGATATACATCTATTTTGTACATTATATGTATAAAAGTTGTAAATATTCAAGGAGAACTTGGTGGAATTGTCCAGCAGAATTCTGACTTTGAGTCTTTGATAAGGAGAGTGAAGCGTGTGAAGGTCACTGCCTGGATATTGTTTTCTTTTAGTCTAAGTTTCAAAGGCAAGGCTGCTGAGAACACTCAAAACTCAGACACTTCAGAAATGGCTTCTACTCCCTCTCAGTGAGTCATCCAACCACATAACAACAATTGAACTAAATCGCTTCTCCTTTACCATTGCTTCCTTAAGCAAACAATGAAACTGTGGGATTACAACCCACATCTGTCCCTTGTTTTATAATCTTGAGGCTATCCAACAAAAATCAGTAGCATCAGTCACCATGGGGGGTGAATCATTTTAATAATTCATTCTTTGATTGATTATTGAGGAAGTTCTCTTCCAGAATAAAGAAATTAAGTCTTTAACTAGAACTTAAAAGAAATTAGATAATGCCTTAAAGATTCAGTTCATTTTTGAACTGTCAAATAAATTCTAATTAATTTGCTCACTTATTTTATTTTACCCAGAAAAGGAATAATGGCTTAATGGCAACATAAGGGTATAATCATTTTTAGTAACATATAGAATCTTTTAATGATCATTCTGCCATAGACTTTAATCTAACAAACAAATGCACATATAAATTAAAATACATCTCGTTTGAATTATATGTCCCTGGTAAAAGGATTTATTGAAAACGATTTGCAGATTAGATAGGGCTGCTCAGTGGCGCAGTGGGAAGCAATTGCCTTGCAGCAAGATGGTTCCAGGTTTAAATCCCGGCCCGGCTCATTCTGCACGGAGTTTGCATGTTCTCCGTGCATGTGTGGGTTCTCTCTGGGTACTCCGGCTTCCTCCCACAGTTCAAAAACATGGCTGTTTGGTTAATTGGTTAATCTAAATTCTCCTTAGGTTTGTGTAAATGGTTGTATGTCCTGTTTGTCTCTGTGTTGCCCTGCGATGGACTGGCTACCTGTCCAGGGTGTACCCTGCCTCTTGCCCATAGACAGCTGGAGATAGGCACCAGCACCCGTCGCAACCCCTCTTGGGATAAGCATGATGGAAAATGGATGGATGGATTTGCAGATTTGTCTTTTTTGAGGGGCTGAAGCAGAAAGTTAAATTGTGCTTTATGTCGAGTTAAGTCCATAATTTTTTCTCCATCCAAGCACCAATCATATCTGTGTAGATGGTCCAGTCTTGGTTGTTTATTATTCATCATCTGTAAATGTAGGGGTTTACTTAAAAGGCAACAACTAATTGACTAATTTTACATTATTAGAAAATGAAAAAAACAGCTTCATTTTTTTTTTTTACTTGCCCACATGGTCTGTTAACCACCTCTGGGTTAGGGTTAGCGGTTGGGAAGTAGGGGTCAATTTTATTGCTTGTGCTTCTGAGGAAACACTAAACTATGAGCAAGCAACATTGAATTATGACTCTACCATAATTTACATGTTAATGTAAATTGTATTTATTTTGTAAATTGTAATTCTTTGTTGTTTTTAGCAATAGAACTGTGCTGCTGCCTTCTGGCGCAGGTCTCTGTTTAAAAAAGAGATATTTTATCTCAAAGGGAATAAACCTAATTTAAAAAATGCTATTAAAGAAAATTAAAGTATATTAAAAAATAATAATTGTCCTTATTCTTAACAGCGAATTTATGCATAATGCAAGGTGCAGATTATTACTTTTCTCTTAACTTCTTCAGATATGTTAAATATGTCAAAACTTTAATACGTAATGTTTTTTTTTAATGCTTAACCTTTTCCAGCATGAGGTTCTTTACTTTAAAAGACATATTACAGCTTAATGAAACAATGGTGAAATATTACCGCCCGCTGATCTTAGTGTAAATTGTTGAAGAGTGGCTAAAATGTTTTCCGACTGCAAACGTAAGGAATTAATTAGTTTGCTGTATTTTATGACTCCCTAACAGTGTGAACCTGTAGTAGCCTGAACCAGAAGAATGATCTACATAGTCTAAGAATGCTTTACATAGACTTGAATCAGGTCATACATATGTTGTTTTTTATTTGTTTTTCTTATATATTTGTTACGTACCCTTTTTTTATGTGGAGTCTGCCTGTGTGTTTTTATTTCCCAATGTACTTTTCTGCAAAAAAAAAAACCCTGAATTTCCTTTCCTTGCAGCCTGACATGTCACCACCTGAAGCTGTCCACTAGAGGGCGCCATGCACAAACATGGTGCAGAAAATAACATTTACAGTGTTATTAAAAGATATGCTCAAAAATCTATATTTGTATTGCAGCTATAATGTATTTTCTGTCGGCATATGCCATTGAAACACACAGTTATGTGCATACTATATGTAAAATGAATAACATTTTGTCTATATTTACATTAAAGGGATTCTTTTAACAGTTTGCTGAATTGATGGCCGTTACTGCTGATTGATAGAACTGGTGTACCTGAGTCAGATTTCTTATGCTGCTTTGATAACACACACCTTTCCAGCTTAAACCTCAAGTATTCTTCAGGAGTGAGATCAGGGCTTTGTGACGACTGCTCTGAAACACGGACTCTGATGTCTTCAATCAATTAGGATCATTCTCCAAATTAGTAATTCTTGGCTCTCTTGAGATATATCTGTAGACTTTCCTCATACAGTAGTTAGTTTATAAAGTGCACCAGCTTCACAAATCATCTTCAAATGTGAAAATGGGTGTTATAGTCAAATACTTCATGTTAAATCGTAATATTTTCCTATCGATTAATTTAAATTTTGGATTTTAATCACATCTTTCTCTAGTTGTACTTTCAGACGAACCAGTAAGTCCCCGAAGTCCCGGTCCACATTCCCAAATAGCAATAAAACTGAAGGGAAAATTACAAAATAAGTTTATTATTAGAAATAATTACAAAATGTATATGAATTGTTTTTTGAAGGGTATAAGACAATTTCAATGATATGGTTTCACAAATGTTTTACAATATCAAAACTCAAACAAACAGATCAAATTCAATCTTTATCTATTATTTAGCTCTTCTGCTTTCATTTAGTCGTGCTTCCCGTAATGAGGAGGCACAGATATCCTGAGATTCAAAGTTCTCCTGCCGTATAAATACTTCCAAGCTCAACACTGTGTGCATTTTGTTTTTCACACATTCTTCCACACAAGAAAGCTCCAAATGGCCTCTTATTTACAAAACAAACGAACAAGCTGGAGCTGAGAAAACTGAGACAAACACTGCATAGATGATTTTTTCGCAGGGTTGAAAGCCTGGAATATGTTCTTATTTCAGGACTCCCAGGGGGAAGGACTCCTTCCCTTCGGAAGAAAACGGGAGTGACGAGCGCTTTGCAGTTGCGTAGGAAGTGTAGGGGGGTGTGGGATAGGTGGTGGAGGTCAAACGGGGCAGAGTGGATGTGGAGGTTGGTGGTCCCTGGTTGTGTCTCTCAGGAGGACCGTAAGCAGGAGACGAAGAGCGGCCCTTGCTCTGCAGGCTGCTGCTGCTGCTCTGCAGAGGGGAGCTGGAGGTTTTTGGACCACGGGTCAAGGATGATGTGGAAGAACTGGAGAGAGGCGAGGTCCTCATACCATATCCCAGTATTCCCGTGCTCATCAGGAACTCTCTGGAGCCGTAGGCTGGTGGCGTTGGTCCGCGAGAACCGGCAGGACGAATGTTATCCGGTGGTAGACTCCTCCTGCTGGGGATGTCATAGATTCCAACATCTGGGCCGTAGAGCGCCTGGGATCTGGCATTGACGTGGAACTTTCCCGCCCTCTCCTCCTGCTCCCGTCTCTCCTGGATGGAAGCCATGATTGTTTTTGAAAAATTGTCATAGCGTGCAGCAGCGGACATTGGAAGTGTCATGTCCTGTGGATAAAGATCTCTAAGGTTGTCTTGAAAACCTAGAGAAGTCATATCTCGCATCAGCAGACCTGGAGGGGGCACATCTCGTGTCGCTATGCTCTGGGATTGAAGGTCTCTTGTTAAAAGTCCATGATAGGCTGGAGAAGAATCTCTCTGAAGGAAACCTGGTAAAGAAGGTGAGGGATCCCTTGAAGTGGAATCTCTTGGTTGGGGAGATTGTCTAGTAACCCCCATAAACACAGGACTGTAAGAGTGAGGGGACGGACGCTGCATAGCTCCCTCTGCGCCATGGGCCATTAAGTGAGAGTGGTAGCTGACTGCAGGAGCCCCTCTTTGGGCCACGAACTGAGGGTCTGCAGGACTGATCAGGTTATCAAAGGAGGGTTTGCCATTCCCACTGCTGCTGGACTGGTTTGCCAACATACTGGAAGTAGTGATGCTCCCAGCAGCACAATTAGATGCATATCGGCTGCTGTGTTTTAGGTTGAGGGAACGAGAGCTAAGTGTCAGAGAGTTAAGTTGTAAAGAGCTGGAGACTGTAGAGGGCAGGAGGGGAGCTTGGACAGGCACACTGGCCTGGTGGTTGCCTCTCGCAGGGCTTTCTCTGGGGTTAGAGCAGAGGTCAGGGCCTTTGTTGTTGCCTTGCTGCTCTGATGCCTTTAGCAGCTACGTATCAACACAAAAAAACACACAGCACCTTCTTTCAGACATCCATCAAAACCATGAATCAAAATAGGAAGTATTAATTCCTCAGTTAAAAAAGGGGCTTTAAAAGAAAGTCACCTGCTCTGGAGGAATGGGTGAGGATCCCCTGGAGATGGCCTCCAGAACGGGGCGAAGCTGTGGCACAGTTGGAATAGAAACAGGAATGATGGATTTGGTGTGATGTCCCACATCTGAAAAATAGGTCACTTAGGATTGATATGCATGGACCTGCAAATATATAGTAAAATATGCAACAGGATTGTAGAAAATAAATTTTTAAAGGTGCGATTTAAGGGGCAAGGGATGCATCTTAATCTAATACTTCCTACAGGACAGAAAAGTGCTTTGTTCAGGATTTTAATGCAGGGTTAGGTTGTTGCAAAATACCCAGAGAGAAAGAGGTGACTTCCACATGAAAAAAGTAGCTCTGCTAAAATTGACCATTACTGCCGACCTGGAAAACAAGATTGTGAGCCAAACAAAACAATTGAAAAAGGATCTCTTCACACCACCCACATCCCCCCAAGGAAAAAAAGGTACTGGCAGCATCATGCTGTGGGCATAGATTTCATCTGCTGATCAGAGTCTCCTTCAGATTATCCTTAAAGAAAAATTGTAAGAGGCTGCCAATTCTATATGTCCTATTATTCCCTTAACAGGTTGTGTTTTAAACTTTAGGTGACCAATTGATAGTAGAGGATGTTATTTAAGCCTGAGGCATTCCCTCCAGTGTCCCCTGGACCTCCTCATGGAGGACAAAAGTTTATAAGTATTCGGCGCTTATATCTCCTCCTGCAAAGAACTGCAAGTTAATACAGCTTATGAAATTGTATCTGGAAAACTGCATCTGGTTATCAGAGGTTATGCTTGAATGCATTTTTGTAATTCATGCGCACCATCCATGGCAGCAACTTGGCTTTTCAGCAGACCGCGATCTGGTTTTGGAGGCAGCGGTGGCGGATGTTTTAGCTGTTTGATGTCTGACAGCTCGACGGATCCAGCCGAGGATTGCTGGAGAGAGAAGTAAACACAAAGAGGCAGAGATGTGAGGGTTACAACTCAAATCTCTTGACAGCTGAGGACACAGCCCTTAAATACCTAATTGTTCTTGCATACCTTATCCTGTATTGCTAGACTTTGGATCCCGTTGTCCCTTATTTTCATCGGCATCTGCCCGTCAATCTCTGGCCTCAGGAAAGGAGGTCGCACATGAATGACTGCTTTCTTGTAGGACCTCGATGTGTAACTGGTTTGCCAACACAGAGCAAGGAACCAAAGCCTTAGTGAGTGAGACACAGGGCTAATAACAAAGATGCAGACAAGGTAAGAAATATATGCTTCATACTTTGGTGAAATGGGACTGCAGATAAGATGCTCCATGTTGCTACAACAGCCCCGTGTAAAAGGGTTTAATCCTCCTTGAAACTTGCCAGTTACCTGTGGAAACATGCAGAGACAAATAAACATGCTGTGTAGATGTGTGTATTATTAAAATCCTCTAACATCTGTCTAATGTTGTCATGTCACAAAGACAAACCTCACTGTGTTTTATAAGGATTTGGTGTGATATACCAGGACAAGGTGGTGCATAACTGTAGACCAGAAGGATTAAGCTTCATGTTAAATTTATTTTAAACAGCAATAATCTGAATACTCTGATATGCAGCTGTATTTATCCCCTGGAGTCAAGATTTTGCAGAACTATCTCTTGCTGCCATTACATCTGCTGGTGCTCTGGGATTACTGTCTACCAGAATATGCTTTTAAAAACTTCAATCTTTCCATATTATTTTTCCCTGAACAGCTAAAGCTCAGTCAGAGGGGATATAGGTCATTTGTGACCGCAAGTATTGACATTTATATTCCGTTCTAAAATTTAAATATGCTTTCATCATTTCATTGCAGCTGCAGAAACAGGGAACCTTTAAGACATCTCAAATCTTTTTTAACCCCCAGCAGGTTTTCCTTAACCTGACTCCGCCAGATGGATTTGCTCCGCATATCCATCTGGAAACCTCCCGTTGAAGTAATTTTGGGAAAGGGGGAAAATACTGGTTAGCTGATTGGCCTATGTTGGTGATAGACGGGCCACATAAACCAATCAGATCAACGAAGCATATGACGTACTAACAGAGCGACGACGAAAACACAACCACAAGCCAGGCTACTCTTGCCGAAACCAGTCGGGAGAAGAGCAAAAACATCTTTTCCTCTGAGAAAAGCCTCCAGAGCAGTGTTTTGCTCTTCTTTCAGTGAAGAAATACTCTGTAATTAAAACTTGCTCGATAGCCACGCTAACGCTAGTTTCATCGGCTGAAGCCGCCATGTTCTTTAGACTGAATGGTCGCGCTTCTCGTTGCGTCACACCTCAACCCGCCTCAAAGCCAACGCTGATTGGACGTTCGTTTGGTGAACTGCTCCAAATTTTCTTTAACGGAGAGTCTCCAGACTGATTTGCGAGTGAAACCTTGAAAGCTCGCAAGATCAGGATGGTCTCACGAGGCTAGGTTTTCCTTAGCATTGTTCTGTTTTACTCAATTCAACTTCCCTGTCAGCTCTTATCATCTTTCTTGTCTCTTTAGCTGTGGCAGACGCCACAGCATGATGCTGCCACCGCTATGTTCTACAGTGTGAGTAGGATGCTTAGGCTCAAATGCAATGTCAGCCTTCAGGCCCAAATAGAAGTTTCAATATATGTTAAAATTTTCACCTGTAGTTTAATTTGACCAAATCACTTTTTCATAAAGACTAGATCAGTGTAATCTTTGCAGCTTTCTTCAGAGTTACCATAAGCCTCTTGGCTGCCTCTCTAAATAAAGCTTTCTTTGTCCAGCTATGTCAGTGTAGGTGGATAGCCATCTGGCAGATTTGCAGTGTTGACCTCCTCTTTCCATAAAATGTAGGATTAAACCGTGTTAGTGAGTTTTCATCATCACTAGAGATGTTTTTATATCCCAAACCTGCTTTAAAAGTCTCCACAACTTCATCCATGACCTGTTCGCCACAAAGAAAAAAAGACCCCGATAGCCTTCGAAGACAATCTGACATTATACTGAGATTAGATCACAGGGGTGTAGTGTTCACAGTAGAGTGAAATCTGGAAGTGATTATTAGTTATTTTACTTGCTAAACAATTCTGCAGTTTCAAAAAAATACAAATTATTTTCCTTCTACTTTGCAACAGTGTGTAGGTCTGTCACATGACACCCAAATAGATGCTCTTTCAAAGCTCTGCATTTTAAAAGATAAATGATCATGATGTTTATCTGAAAACCCTCTTACTTGTTCATTTGTGGTCCGACCTCTGGACACCAGGTACAGGTGGAAACCAGTGAGACCCAGCACTGGTATCAGAAACAGGCCAGATATACTGATCACTACCAAACTGCAAATTATGTCTGTTATGGAAAACTTTTTCACATTTAGCTTTAATTTGCAAAAATAAGCACAGATGGGCAGAATTGGAGACTAGTCACAAGGATACGTGACGAGGCAATGGAGCTTCCATAAATCTTCCATGTGGTGCAGGACATAAATGAGGCCAAAGGTGAACACAACGATCATGTGAACAGTGAGAGACAAGAGAAACAGGAAGAAGTAGCGGTAGTTTCGTCTCCCAATGCAGTTGTTCACCCATGGACAGTGATGGTCAAAATCCTGGGGGGAAAAAATGACACATGGCATGTTTAATCCCAAAATACTCATTTGGACCTTGTCGGATATCCACTCTACTTTCTAAATATAGTTGTTTTATTTATTGTATTTCTACAGCAATAGCAGGGATCTGAGAAAAGGATTTGCCTGATTAACGAGATCTCCCCCTCTGCCCATCACTCATCCTGCAGAAATCTACTCTACACAGCTGCAATTATTTTTTTTTAAAGCTCTCTAATTACTTTCACTAATCCTAATCTGTACTACGGTTTTTTGTAACTGTTAGTGTTGAATCTTTTTAAATATGTACTCACCTCCACACAGCGATCGCAGACGCTGCAGTGGGAGCAGCGCGGAGGTCTGTAGAAGTGGCACGATGCACACCACTTCATCCTCACCTGGATGCCCTTCACATCCACGTTCTTGTACAACGGAGCACGAAATTCATCCTCCTTGTCTTCATCCTCGCCAGCTAAAAAATAACCAAAACAAATAAAACTAATAAAGTAAGGCTTTTGTATAAAAAAGAAAATATTATTGGAAAAGTAACACGGGTGTGACTACTGACCTACAGGGAGAATCCCGGCATCCATGAAGGTGGCCATGGTGAAGTTGGCAAGCACGAAAAGAAAAAGGACAGCGCAGCATGGTGGGATGGCAGGGCAGATGGTCACAGCCAGCCACGGGCATCTGAATATATGCACGCACACACACACACAAGAGAGAAAGAAGAAAACCTGTTTTCTGCACTTGTGTTGAAAGCAAAGTCATTGCTGCAAATAAGAATTTCCCCCCGTTCCTTAAACGCTCCAAAATCAAGGCAACAGAAAAGACTTTAGAGGATCATCTCCATCCTATTTAGTCTGATGAGAGTTGTGGATCACAAAAGTAATTGTTTACAGTAAGGGATAAGCATGTATTAGTGTGTACTCACCAGCACCAGCAGCAAAGGATTAAATAAGGAGGTCTGTATAAGCTTCAAGCTAAGACACTGTCTGCCTCCATCAGGGCCACACAGCCTTGATCATTTTACATTGAGGAAGGATGGTTCAACATAAGATAGTTTTCAGGAAGATTGTTTGGAGTAAAAATGAATTAAGATGAAGAGATTTTAGAGAAAGTATTTTACAATGGACTTCAAACGTAGCAGGGGAAAATATATCGGTATAATACAGATTCAAAGAACCAGTTTTTAAGCAGGTGTGCTCGCCTATATTTATGTTTTTTTTATACTTGGGAATGTATAAGAGATACTAACTGCAGGAGTAAGAAGCCACCATTCACCACGTGCATTTTACATATAGACCTGAATTTTTTAGTACACTTAGCTATCAGGCTGTATTTCTCATGGAGGATGCTGATCAGGCCTAGAAGAAGGCTACTGTCTGATGCAACTGGCAAACATACAAAAATGTGAAAGCAAGGCTGGAAGGTTTGAGGGAATTGTTATATGATTTAAATGTTGAACTGACGTAAATGAAGCAGAGGCTCAAATTCATTTTCAACATTTTAAAAGGTGAGGTATGTGTGCGTGTGTTGAGGGGTGGGTGTTGGGGGTTTACATAAGTTTAAACCTGGAGGCGGTAAGGTAAAACAAGAGAAATATATTTTCTAAGACATATATTTTTCAGTGATTAATCTTTGATTAATAATCTGTAAAGGTGAAAAGTTATCCAGGTTCAATACCCTGTTCTCTTGTCTGGACAAAAAAGGCCTAGCTCGACTGCAGCTAGTGCAAAATTCTGCAGCAAGGATCTTGACACGTACAACCAGAAGAGCCAACACTGGCTTCCCATTGAATACAGCATAAACATCAAATTCTGCTCCTGACCTTTAGAGCCCTGCATGGACAGGCTCCCTCTAACATTTGCGACTTGATTCAGCCTCACTTTTCTGCTCGCAGAGATCTGCTGAACAGAGCTTTTTAATGGTCCCTTAAACCCATTTTAGGATGTGAGGTGATAGATCCTTCCAAGCTGTCGCACCCAGACTGTGGAATGCACTAGCACTTTACCTGCACTTGGTGAACTCCGTGGATGATTTTAAAAATCAACTAAAAACATTCTTTTTTTTTTTTAACCAAGCATTTTAGACGCATTGTATCAAGGGCTGCTATGATTGTATTTATTTTTCCTATCTGTATTTTATATGGTGCTGCATTGTATTCTATGACTCAAATTGTACAACACTTTGTAATGCTTGTCTGAGAAAGGTGCTATGTAAATAAACCTTACTTACTTACTTACACCCTACAAACTTCTGTGCCCTTATATTGTTAATAAAACAAAGCTGAATGTGCAGGTATAACATCTGACAAATGTTGAACATTTAACATTAAAATTGAATATTACTTTCTCATCAGTATTTTCTGCACACCATTTCTCCTCTTGCCATTAATATTAGAGAATTCAAAAGACTCTTTTATTTGGGTCCAAATGCAATCCCACTTATTGCATAGTTTTTCAATGCACGCCTAACATATTTTTTATACACTTGTATTAGGATGGAGGACATACATTTTTCCAAGATTTCCTTTTGCTGATTTTTTTAACTAAACAATCACACAATGGTTCTAGGATGGAAGCTCATTTATCTGCCCACAGTCTATTAGTTCAGTGACTCAGATGCCATAATCAAGTCCTCTGGCTTTTTAGTGATTCAGGTGAGTCAATGCTTGTCAGCATAGATGAAGCATCTAAAAAATTATTCTCACCAACTCGTTGGCTAAATGGAATATAAGAGTTGTTTTGGTTTTTTTTGACAAATGTTGTGGAGCAATTTACAGTATCTCTAAGTTGAAACCCTTATACATTTAATTTTTCATCACATCCAAATACATCCATAGCTGAGATTGATTTCTTTTTTATGCCCCAGCATTAGATGAAAAGTGAGGCTGGAGCTTTTTCAACTAAAACCTGGATATCTTCATATGGTATTGAAGTGCAAGAGTATTAGAGGCATATTAGAACTTAACGTCTGGATGTTAAGATTAATTGATTGAAGATGGCATAGTATTAAAGACCAAATCAGAAATTCATCCATTAAAAAATGAGTGTATGTTTGATCTTTAAAACCCCTCCACACACACACACACTAGTGTGTGTGTGTGTGTGGGGGCCTGAATGCATGCAACATATGGCTATCTGCTTTTCCTGGTAGAGTTTAACAGCTGAAGAGCAGAGGGAATAAAGGAGTGTTTGTATCTGTTGGTCCGAACTGGTGGGTATGTAAAACAGGAACCAGAGGGTAGAAACTGAAATTCGTTATGTAGGGGATGGGTATAATTATCCAAAATGGACTCAGCCTTCCTGATAACCTGATCTTCATATATTTCAGTCATGTTTTTCTGATGAACACTCGTGATCTTACTGCACACCTTAATAATCTTAGATATGGCATTTTTGTTGCTCATTAAGAAGAGTGTACCAGCAGATGGCAGAGAAGGTAAGTATGGCCTCTATAAAAGATCTGTAGAACATGGTCATTAGAGTTTTGTCAACCTGAAACCTGGCTAACTTTCTCAGGCAGTATAAGCGCTGCTGCCCTTTCTTACATAGCATGTCTGTGTTGCTGTTGAAAGTTAATTTGTCATCTATGATAGACCCAAGATATTTATACTAATGAACAATTTCAATGTCTTGCCCGTTTATAATGGTTGTAGAGGGGTTGCAGGTCTTGTGCCTAAAATCGATAAACATGTCCTTTGTTTTAGTGACATTGAGTTCCAGCATGGCTTCCTGACATCAGTTTGTGAAATAGTCCATGATGGGGCCATGTGCTGTTTCTCTGTCTTCCAGCAAGCTCACAATGACAGTATCATCCGCAAACTTAACAATTCATTTTAAGACTAAGGTGTGAATTGAGTTTAGGTTGGTATTAGGGTTAGGTATGTGTGTGTGCTTAGTTCCTCTGAACAAGCAAATCTCTTCACTCTGAGATTAGAAAGAGGGCACTATAATCAGGTTACAGTCGTAGACAGAGGAAAAGAATTGCTGGATTATATAAAGAGACTTTAATTAACCTATATATGCTGGGCACTCTGTTTTCATAACATAGATTGTACTACTGGCTCAGGCCCTATATGTTATACGGTGTTTCTCTTCAACTTTTTTTTCCCAGGGTTTTATTGTAATTACAATGTCACAAGTACAGAGCAACAAAATTAACTCTGCATTTAACCCATCCCCTTGGGTAGCAGGGCCTGCCATTGTGCGGCGCCCAGAGAGCAGTGTGGGGATAAGGGTCCTTGCTCAGGGACCCAGAGTGGCAGTCCGTGGGAGTGGGGCTTGGACTCAGAGCTTCTGGATTCCAGGCACAATGCCCTAACCATTAAGCCACCACTCCCATACTTTTCTTTAACATAGAAAAGTACTCCTGGACCAGTGCTCCCTTTGGTTCATGGCGGTTGTTGTATTGTGTACAGTGTCCTCTTATGCTTCCTCACACCGAGCCAAATTCAGCAGGTTTTTTTCTTGTTAAAGTGAATTTTCTTCTCCACTATTGCCCGTGTATACTCAGTATGGAAGGCTGCTACAAAAGCAGTAACTCAGTACAGTCAACCGGCTCTCTTTTAGAAATAGGAGGGACTACAAGCACGAAAATGCAATTCCTCAAATAAAAAAATGCATGGCCAAATCAAATAATTGGCTGAACTCAACTGCAGTCTTTCATAAGAGGGATCAGAACGGAATTGAAAATTATTTTCAATCTTTCATTGGAACTGGATTTTGTATTTCAGCCAACATATGCAGTTTAATCTGTGCTATAGAAATAGTTTTGAATTACATTTAATATACTGAATATAAATAAACAGAACTGAATTACACAGATTTTAGCTCTATGTAAAAAACACATAGTATTGCATTATTCAAAATCAAAATAATCTAAGGAATATTTTTAGCAACTGCCCATCTGTACCAAATCATTTCCTCTGTCAAACACCAATCCTCCTCTTATTGGCAATATTAAACAGGTTGCATAATGAGAAGGGGATTACTACTTCTTCTTTAAAACTATATTTAAAACTATATATGTATAAATACAATAAAATACCTTTCAGACAGAACCTACAGTCATATTCCATAACCATTTTATGTGGCGTCTCTCAGGATGCTGTGTTAGGACCATTCCTGTTTCTGCTATACATACACTGTTTTGGCCAGATTATGAAAAACAAACAAAAACCTCTGTTATAGTATCTGTTTGGATGACAAGCAGCTGCTCTTTTTAGGAATCAGAACTACAAAGATCATCAAATCATCACCACGACAAGAAACAGAAAAAAGGGACAATGTCTTTAGTTAAACGTTAAAAATGACTGAATGCCAATGATATTCCTGTATGCATGACTTCTAAAGTCAGACGAGTGAGGCCTTTAGATTGAGCTGTCTAGTGTGTTCTAACCAAATAAGGTTATGTGTTTGCTTCAATAAAAAAACTTTTTAAAAACTTAGAAGGCTAGTGTAAAAACAGAATCTTAATCTTTCAATAAGTATGAGACTCTGCAGGTAGAACCATTGCTGGAGCAAACAGGATGACACATGTCCTTCCTGCATTAGTTCAGGCAGTGTTACTTTAAAATCCCGTCGCTAACCTTTAGAGCTTTGCAATGTCAAGCTCCTCATTACATCCCCGACCTATTAAAGTTTCACACACTGACATGGAGCCTCAGATCGACTAACCAGAGACTA